GAGTGTTGGGTCTTGTGTCTTAAAGCTCATCCAGAGTGTTGGGTCTTGTGTCTTAAGCTCATCCAGAGTGTTGGGTCTTGTGTCTTAAATTCATCCAGAGTGTTGGGTCTTGTGTCTTAAGCTCATCCAGAGTGTTGGGTCTTGTGTCTTAAACTCATCCAGAGTGTTGGGTCTTGTGTCTTAAGCTCATCCAGAGTGTTGGGTCTTGTGTCTTAAACTCATCCAGAGTGTTGGGTCTTGTGTCTTAAGCTCATCCAGAGTGTTGGGTCTTGTGTCTTAAAGCTCATCCAGAGTGTTGGGTCTTGTGTCTTAAGCTCATCCAGAGTGTTGGGTCTTGTGTCTTAAACTCATCCAGAGTGTTGGGTCTTGTGTCTTAAGCTCATCCAGAGTGTTGGGTCTTGTGTCTTAAACTCATCCAGAGTGTTGGGTCTTGTGTCTTAAGCTCATCCAGAGTGTTGGGTCTTGTGTCTTAAACTCATCCAGAGTGTTGGGTCTTGTGTCTTAAGCTCATCCAGAGTGTTGGGTCTTGTGTCTTAAACTCATCCAGAGTGTTGGGTCTTGTGTCTTAAGCTCATCCAGAGTGTTGGGTCCTGTGTCTTAAGCTCATCCAGAGTGTTGGGTCCTGTGTCTTAAGCTCATCCAGAGTGTTGGGTCCTGTGTCTCTCAACTTTCTCTTCACAATATCACACAGATTCTCTCTGGGGTTCAGGTCAGGAGAGTTGGCAGACCAAGTTGTTAGGGGACGGGGACAATTGTTGTTGATTGTCCCCACATGCTTCAAATCAACAACAATTGTCTTTGTCCCCAAGAAGAGCCCACCCACATGTCTAAACAACTACAGGCCAGTATCACTCACTCCAATCATTATGAAGTGCTTTGAGTGAGTGCTGCTGGCCCACTTTCAGGAGAGTATCCCGGTCACCCTGGACCCCTGCAGTATGCCTACAGGCGCAACAGGTCAACATCAGACACCATATCTGCTGCCCTCCAATACTCCCTCTCACACCTGGAGAACAAAGACTCGTACATCAAGATCCTCTTCATGGACTACAGCTCAGCCTTCAACACAGTCATCCCACTAAAACTCATCCATAAACTGGACTCACTGGGAATTCAACCTCTGTGACTGGCTCCTAGACTTTTTGACTGGAAGGTCTCAGACAGTCAGGATTGGGAACAGGACCTCCTCCACACTCATCACAAACACCGGAACCCCACAGGGGTGTGTCCTAAGCCCACTCCTCTACACTCTGTTCACTCATAACTGTGCTGCCTCCCATGAGAACAACATCATCCTGAGGTTTGCTGATGACACCGCTGTGATAGGAAACATCACTACAGTGATAGGACACATCACCRCAGTGATAGGACACATCACCRCAGTGATAGGACACATCACCRCAGTGATAGGACACATCACCACAGTGATAGGACACATCACTACAGTGATAGGACACATCACCACAGTGATAGGACACATCACCACAGTGATAGGACACATCACCACAGTGATAGGACACATCACCACAGTGATAGGACACATCACCGCAGTGATAGGACACATCACTACTACAATGATAGGACACATCACTACAGTGATAGGACACATCACTACAGTGATAGGACACATCACTACAGTGATAGGACACATCACTACAGTGATAGGACACATCACTACAGTGATAGGACACAGTGATAGGACACATCACTACAGTGATAGGA